GCAAATATATTTTCATGAAAGGCTAATTTTTGAGAAAGATAGTAATTTAGCTAAGTTACCAAGGTAATATTAAAATGTGCTATGATGACTATAATTCAAAGCAAGCAGTATAACTCTGGCACAGAACTAGATAAACTGTTGTATAGAAAAGAATGAAGTCTAGAAATTGATCATGTACAAACGAAGTTTAATATATGATTACAGATGTTTAAAAGCAGTGAGGAAATGATAGAGTATTTAATAGATATTGTTGGAAGAACTGATTATACAAATGGAGAAGAAAAGAAGAAAAGTAAAATAGGTTTCTCTCGCATACCATTCATATAAATATAGAGATTGCAATATTAGAGAAATGCTGGAAGAGAAGATCTCTAATTCTTCTCTGTTTTCCTCAAAACAATTAGCATTCTCCTTCACACATAGTAGGTATTTAAAGTTTCCTTAATTCATGAGATAATTAATTCTTCAGGGCCCCTATGACTTACTTTGCAAACAACACATTCTTTTTTTTTTTAAAACAGTAATTTTTTTAAAGATTTATTTATTCATTTATACAAGCACTGGGTACAGTCAGAAGCGCGGGAGGGTGAGAGAATTCACCAGAGTCAGAGGGGAGAGCACAGCAGGCAGACTGACGAAGTACACTGCTGAGGGGAGCAGCGGGCGGCAGGAGAGGTCTGTGCCCATGTGGGACCCTCCTCCGGTGGCCGGGGAGCAGCCGGGGATTGGAACCGGCGCTGCAGAGGCAGCGGGCAGCTTCGCAACCCAGCGCTCAACCTCTGTGCCACCGGGGAGACCCCAACAACACATTCTTAATACTTAAAGCTTACAACTTTGAAATATATCAATATATCTATCTATCTATATTCCTTCTTTTAGTCTTTTATTAACAAATCTTGATTCATGGAGGCATTTTGTTCAGAATCTTTGCAAATGTATATGTATACATAAGTGTAGAAGGAATGTGGATTTTAGAGAGCAAAATAGACAGTATGAAGAAGGGGACATGCAGGTGCAGAGACTCAGCTGCTGTCAGGAGCTTCAAAAGCTACACCTCCAGTAGCACCTGAGAGTGCTTTAAAAGCATGGAGTGGCTATTCTGCTGAATAACTGAATATCCACAGAGCCAAGGTCCATGACCTTGAGCACAGCAGATCTTTTCTGCTGAATATGATCTTATTTCAAGACAAGTCAAATTATTCTCCTCGGTCGCCAAGAAAACCTCAAAGCTTTCAAACCTAAGCTTTCAAACTTTGTCCTCAGGGAGGCCTCAAATCTGCTAAAGCAGCCCACCGGATGAAAGAACCACAGAATGCACTTGAATTGCTAGGAAACATAAAACTTTCCAATTTGTACAGAATTCTGATGTGTCTAGGTTGTATACCAAGTATAAAAAGGACTTTGACCTGAACTATGGAAGGCTGAGGGACTGTTTCTGTGCTTCCTTGAATTTGAGGTAGAAGAATAAAAGATTGTTTCAGGGAAGAGAATCATAAGACCCACCAGACTCAGGGACATTCTATCTTGACCCATCTGCCCATTCATCCATTCTTTTCTTCTTTCAGCATTCATGTAGTCAGGTTTTTAATTAGCCAAACAAGGAATATCATAAGAAGAAAATGGGAAAGAAACTGTCTTCAAATTGAAATACATGAAAAAAAAAATACAAACAGACCTCTATTAAAGGCTTTTGCAAAGAGGGTTTTAGTCATCATTTGACTTGGTTAAAATCCTGAGCTGAGTATTTATTATGGCTCAAGACCAAAGAAAGCAACAATCAGTATAATTGTGCAACACATGTGCTTTGTTATTAGATGGAAGAGCAGGTTAGATACTTAAATTTTAAACTTGTATGAACAGACGTCAGCTTGTTAAAGAAAAATTGTCCTATCAAAGAGAAAATGCTGGGTGGATGTGGGCTCTTCTGGTTAACTATTTCGAGGCTAACTCTTTCATTCTTCATCTATTTTGTCCCAGGACTTCCTTCCACATTTATCTCTTCAGAGTAGACTATCCTTGTTTTTAATTCATGGTGAAATATTTAGCTTCCCATATTCTTTTCATCATCTTCAAGTTTTATCCTAACCAGCAAATAAAGAGTACTCTCCAGAATAGGATTTTATAGATTTGGAACTTTGCCTTCTTTGAATGTTTGCATTAGGTTTTTTTTTTTTTTTAATATTTATTTTTATTTATGCAAGCACTGGGTACAGTCAGAAGCGCGGGAGGGCGAGAGAATTCACCAGAGCTAGAGCGGGGAACAGAACAGGCAGAGTGACGAAATACACTGCTGGCGAGACAGGGAGGCCTGTCGCACCATGTGGGACCCTCGCCAGTGGCCAGGGATCGAACTTGCGCTGCAGAGGCTGTGGGCAGCTTTGCAGCCCAGCGCTCAACCACTGCGCCACCAGGAGAGGCCCTGCATTAGGTTTTGCCAGAAATACGTAAATCTAGATAATGAGAGTTTTGGATATTGACTGCTTTTTTAAATTAAAAAAATAATAATTTAATTCAGCCTATTGAGGGTTTCTCTATGTTTCAGCAAATCTCACTGTGAATCTGTAGCAAGATACAACTCTAGATTACTTTTTAGATTGTAGTTCCTTCTGGAAGGAGATGTGTAATGTCAGCATAGGTTTTAGCTTTTCACATTATCTGGCGAGATTAAATACTCATTCATATGGTTTTACATAAGGGTTTTCTGTTAAAAAGAAGACTGTGACTTGAAATCAGATGCTTCAAAGGTCAGTCTGATAATGTACAGTCCAAGGGGAAAGAAGAAATGCAAGTGTGTTCCCACTTTATAAGATAAAACATGCTGACTGCCTATTATTTACTCAAGCAATATGTAAATGTAAGGCTATCCTATACACAGACAGGTCATATATAAAGTATAAATATATATCTTAAAGGGCTACAAAATTTTGTCATATGATTTTAACTAAATTAGTATAATTATAGAGGCACAATGATTATACATGAAATGCCTAGGTCATATCTAAGTCCTTGATTCATATAAGGATTCATATAAGTCCTTGTATATTAGAATCAGTTGGCAACTTCTCAAAATCCCAATGCCTAAGTTTCATATTTGATCAATTATATGAGAATATTGAAGGTGTGGGACTGGGGTCCAGGGATCAATATTTCTCAAGATTCTTTAAGTGGTTTCTTTGCAATGTCAAGAATCAATGTAAATATTAAACATCTTGTTATGTCATCTCAGTCTAAAATAATCAGCAGGTAATTAGCTTATCAAGATAGTTGTATATACTCAATTCATGTTTATTTTTTCATTATAAATTTTCCACACCATGAGAGCAGTATTATCAATTTTAAATAAAATGCATTTTTTTTCTGAATAGCAAAAGTTAAAGCTTGGAATAAAAACATTTCATTATAATACTGTATATTGAGGGAATCTACCAAATTAGATGTTGATGTTGAGAAGCTTAACATCATTTGTGAAAATATGGTGAAGTAATTGAGATAATTACTTCACTTTGAGATTGTAACTGGAAAAAAAAGATATCATTTGGTGATATTAAAGCTATAATTTTGTGTATTTTTTCTAGAATTTACAAATCAAGATTTCTGAGAATGAATTTATATTAGGATTGAATGCCATGCTTAAAAAAAAAAAAAGACTGCCCTATACCCTTCAAAATGAGTATTTTCTTCCCTCTGAAACTGAAGGTATCCTTCAAATCTATACAAAATAGCATTATAAATGCAGCAGAGGGCCTCCCCTGGTGGCCCAGGTGGTTGATCGCTGCGCTGTGAAGCTGGCCACAGCCTCTGCAGTGCCGGTTCGATCCCAGAGGCCGACAAGGGTCCCGCATTGGCGCAGCAGACCTCTCCTGTGTCGCCCGCTGCTTCCCTCAGCAGTGTATTTCTCCAGTCTGCCTGTTCTGTTCCCCACTCTGTCTCTGGTGAATCCTCTCACCCTCCCGCACATCTGGCCTGTACCCCGGTTCTTGTATAAATAAATAAATCTTAAAAAAAAATGCAATGTTTAAAAAAAATGCAGCAGAATATAGTAAAAAGAATGTAGGGTTCAGTAGGAGATCCAAATGCTAGTCTGAGATACTTGCTAGCGAAGTGCTTTTGCCATGTCTCTTAAGTTCCCTGGGTCTTAGCTGTCTTACCTAAAAGACAATAAAGCTAAACAAATCAAGTGTTTTTAAATTTTGAGGGGTGGACTGTTGCCAGACTATGAAATCAACTAAGAAATTCTTCTATTTCTATTAAAAAAAAAATAGGAGGTTTGCATTGCATGTAGAAAGTCAATGTATTATATGTGAAACCTGGGTAAATGGGAAGAAATTTTTGAAACCCCTTGAATTTGAAGATCTCTTAACTTTTATAATTTATGAATTGTTCATGGGGAAGGCCTATAGTAAAGGTAATGAAGGTAGAGGCAACTTATTTCAAGCTTGGACTGTATTTTTGTCATACTATCAAAGCACATGCCCTTTAGTAAAAAAAGACTGTTTCAACATAGTTATTTAGTTGAATCACAACAAGGAGAAAAGCATTTGCAGCCTGTGAATGTGAAAATGTGTCCTATCCTTGAGACCAAAGAATTCTTGCTGTGAGAAGTGAATGGTGTATTGTGAATTAAAACTACTGATTCAAGAAGTGGCATTATTCAATCCATCCAGAATGTTCTGTCACCAAATTACTTTGAAACTAAAAAGTGAGAATGTACTCTGCTTTTTGCTCGGTCAATATTTTGTCTATTTTGTTGTACATTTGTGCTCATTCTTGGGAAGTGGATTCTTCCATGAAAAGCAAGGAAAAGTAAGGTCCAGTAGTTTAAAAAATATTGGTTTCAAAGCAGAACTGGTTATTGGAATTAACTAGGAACTAAAAAAATTAGCAAGTATTAGGGCTTATTAAAGTATGTCTTATGGAAATAGATGCTAGAAATATGCTTTGTAATGTTACCCAGGTGATTCTGATCTTTAGGATACAAAGTCTTACAACAATCCCTTTTCATATTTACCTGGCTGGAGAGATACCTTGATCAGGAAGGAAGATTCCATGATCAGGATGAGGCCCAGGCATTACATCCTAGATGTGCAGACACCTGCAATTTCCCCCAATATTGGAAACTTGACTGCATAATTTGTGATAGTGGGGGACTGTATCCATGCTCTCCCCTGAAATAAAAAGATCAAGCCCTTTTATCCCAATTTTGCCTGTGCCTCACTATGTATTCAGAAGTCTCTTAAACTTTATGGGCCTCCCTCATCTAATTCTAACCTCTGCAATTCTGTAACTCACTGAGATTTCTGATAAAATCTCACAATTTCAAATAAAGATAGTTGTATATCAGCCAATGTCCTTTATTTATATTGGCTCCTAAGACCTAAGTTTCTATCATAGGTAAATCTAAAAAAAGAAAAAAAGATTATAACAAGCACTATATTTTAGGAAGTATTCTCATTTAATATTAGATCCCAAAACCAGTTTATTGACAGTTCCAGGTATTGATCTGTGTGTAGTCCTCTTATAATATCCACATATCCATGATTTATAATTTTGCCCATTTCTCCAACTTCAGTCATAAATGTCTAAACTGGGAGCAAAGACTTCTAACACAAACTGAGATAATTAAATTTTATCACCTTTGGGGGTTCCAGACCTTGAAAGGACTTACTGTGAATCTAAAATTCACTGTTGTTGAGTTATATAAGTGATACAACCCCCGAGGAGACCAGTAAGCACTACGAGTTGCTTAGTTTTTCCTGTTCTTTCCTTTCAGACATGGTGGTTCAACAATACCTTCTATTCTGTGAACTACCTCCAAATCTTTTCAATAAATGTTATATGTTTGCACTTAATCTAGAGATCTACTGGTATCTGGGAGGAGAATAAAACCTGAAGGAATTCAATTGTTCAAAATGAACTAACTTTTTTCATATATCAGGAAAGGTGCTAAGTTACACTATCCTTCAGAGAAGTGAGAAAATAGTATTCAAATCAGATGAGGGATTTGGGATGAGAAATGCTGAGCTTGCTAGACAATGTTGATTTATGATGCTTTCAACATAGCTATGGTACTTGGGATGAAAAAAATCAGTGTATAACTTTTGCTGGGGAAAGCTGGCTTCTTACCACTAGTAAGCCAATCATAAGTTTTCTGTTGGTCAGCATGATTCAGCTGTCCCTGCTGCCTGGAAAAGTTTCCCCCTACTTCTTTGAAACTGATAATCCTTGGGCTGATGCTGTCCAGGCAGAAGGAGTGACGAAGGATGTCACAGTTTTATGATGCTTCATGTATCTTCAATTCCTGTCAACAGAAAACAACTCAGGAGTACTGCTGGGAGGTTTGTGTGAAGCCTTTTGGGAGAGTTAGTCTAGCAATTGGAAGAACATACCCTTGTGTTCTAAATGTTACAACATTGACTAGCTCAGGCATTTTATCTTTGTTTGCTCCCAGTTCAGCCATAAAGTTATTCTTGTCATAATAGCAGTAGCAATTCTGTAATCATTTTATTTTTTTTAAAGATTGATTTATTTTTACACAAGAGCTGGGTATAGGCCAGACATGCGGTAGGGTGAGAGGATTCACCAGAGGCAGAGCAAGGAACAGAACAGGCAGATGACAGAAATACACTGCTGAGGTGAGCAGCGGGCACAACAAGAGAGGTCTGCCATGCCATGTGGGATTCTCGCCAGCTGGCAGGGATCGAACCCACACTGCAGAGGCTGCGGACAGCTTCACAGCACGGCACTCAACCCGCTGCACCACAGGGGAGGCCCTAATCATTTTATTAATGATCATCCTTTTGATAAAATTTGCAAAGTGTGGCAAATTTTGCCACACTGAGGAAACTGAGGAAACTCATACTTGGCTACTTTTATTTCCTCGTAGTCATGCTAAGAAATATGACAGCTCAGGTCCATTAGTTTTCATTGAATAAGGTAACATCCAGAAAACATGCTAGTTTATTTTCACTTGCAGCAGTGCACAAACCAAGGTATTTCCAGAGAGACATAAATGCAGTTGCATGAACCTCATTAAGCCTATTTGTTCATAACAACAACTTATTAGACTGTACCAGGAGATAGTGACTCTAGATTTATTCAGAAGAGTTGTACTAAGTTTCCAAACCCATAGAGAATTCTACTGTAATGTTGCCTAAAGGTGAAACACATTGAGAATAAGAATTGAGAGATTACCGCCAGTGATTTAAGAGCTAGACATCCTGCTAAAAAGCACATTAAATAGATAATTGACACATGTATACACTTACCAGATTTCTCTTTTTTAAAATTGTTTTGGGCTTTGTTTTTCCAATCACGGGATGCAAGGTAGTTTATTTAGGTGTTTCTCCCTTGAGAAAAGTGTCAGGATATCAAAATATTTTGTCTTTAATACTAAACTCAGACATGATACACACATGCACACACACACACAAAGAGAGATCCTTGCATATTTCTTAGATGATATTCTAAATCAGGGCAATCTCAAAATCTATTATAACAATGGTCTCATATTTTAAAGTGCACTCAAATCAATGAGGGGGGAGTCTGTTAAAATGTAGATTCTGCATTGGTAGGTGGGGAGGGAGTCTAAGATTATATTTTCATAGGATTCCCATGACATTGATAATGCTATGCCTTAGACCACATTTCAAGTAGTGGGTTTTAAAAGATTATATATTTTTTAAAACAATTCCTATTTTAACCAACACTTTTCTCTTCCCTGTGAGTTTCTCCTTCACTCTGCTTTTGCCTTCCAAGATGCCATACTTTGTATCTAATTTAAAAAAAAAAAAAACGAATCACATTCTATTTCACAGAACAGGTTACCACATGACCAAAATATTTGGATAGCTCAAATAATTGAATTTTAGGGTTAAGAGGGCAGCCCCTCTGATTCTATAGAGAAAACAGCATTTTATAGATTGGCCATTTGTTGGATCTTAGTTATATAGACATTTTTTCAGTATATATTGCCCCAATGAACTTGGTAATATGATTTCATCTGAAATTATTTATTCCATATCCATTTTATAAATGTAGATTGCCCACAAAGGTAGAATATCTATAGATTTGTTATAAATATAATTGTATTTCTGTAATTATGTTATATAATTTACTTTCTTATTAGATAATCATTAATTATTATCTGAAGTATTCAGGCTATTTTTTTTTTTAATGTGTCATTCTTCTCCTCCAGTTTAAAGGATGCTAGATACTAGTTGTCATAGATCCAACTATTAGGAGCTTGAGGCAATTCCAGAAATTGCAATATTGCACATTTGGTGAATGCCAGGAGTACTTGTTTGATACCTTCCTATGTATCATATGATCATATGTGTAAAACTGACTGTTCATTGGCTCAGAAAAGCAATCTATTTGGTTCTCAGCACCTGCAGTTTTATAAATAAATGAAAATCACTTGCACATATTTAGAGTGGAAAATTTTTGCACGTGAGTTTTAGACCATCCTATTTTCTTTTGAAAAAATTATATTCATATTTAAGTTGCACTTAGTTTTTGGTCATGAATTAGAAAGAAACTCATTTCACAGCAATACCTAGAAATACAGAAGGGCATGAAATTAGAATCAGAAGGTCGGGGTTGAATTTTGATTCTACCCCAATTAGTTACATGACCATAATTTTATCTGTTGAGCTCTCATTCTCTTCATCAAATATGTCAAAGTGTTGAACTAAATAATATCTAAGTCTTCCTCAGGTTTCATATTTCATGACCTCAAGTATATATATCATCATTAAGACTGTGCTTCTTTGCAGGAGATTATCTGATGATCCTTCAGAATTTATTTATGGCTTGGTTGCCTTGAGGTATATCTAAACTGAAATAAAACCTTGAAGAATGAATATTTTTTAAACCCTAATTTCTTGCTGCAAACAATAGAACTTATCCTCAAAATTAACATAAGTTGATTCATATTTGGGCATTTTGGAATGTTTTATTGCATTGCCAGGCAGAAAAGGAAAGAGTAAGCTATCCTCCCTTTTAAAGCAATGTTATTTTTCCTTACAGTAATCAATGATTTTTTTTTTCAATTTAAATGGCATAGGAATAAACAGACTTCCCTTTTATGTGCCTCTTGACTTGTTTTGCCTTTATGATTGGAGAGAGTTAGGTTTACTTAATTTAATGTTGTAAACTTTTTGCATATACCATTGTTTAGTCAAGGATGTTTTGGGCACAATATTTTTATATATCTTTGGATATATGAAAGCAGAGTAGGAAAACAAATGAAGCAAATCTTTCACTCATGTTTGTTCTTGTTCTTTTTTTATATTATCAATTTTAGGTTTTTGTTTGTTTTTATTGAAAGAATCTTAGAATCACATGAAAATCCCACAAACCTGTGTGATTTTGGATTGTATATATGAAAAACAAGACAATCAGTAATAATAGCATATATCAGTTTCTTGGTATAGGAAAATGACTTGATATTCTTCCTAAAACAGTGCAACTTCCCTCTTCTTATAGACATCCTTTCCTTAGGCTATTGGATAATTCCCATGTGGATTGTTTACATTTAAAAGAAGTACAGAAACTTTAAAATTGTGGAAACACAGGGATTTTATTCTATGTATAGGTAATGGGAAGGGGCATTGTCACAAGAATCCATATTCATTTCTATGTGAACCTGGGAATCTTTTTCTCACATTCCTCTCTGTAGAATTCAGTGGTACTTGGTGTTCGAAAGAATCCATATGTTTGATCTACCATTCAAGGATTGACCACCTTCTACAAGACCCAATTAAATAGTTCAGTTGTATTTAAGTTCTTTCTACAATGAGAAATTTGTTTTCTATCAAATAAAATATTCGACACAAGGAACATTCCTATTTATTTGTTGAGATACACTTTGTCTTAGCTTTTATACTTTGATCCTATTTATGCTTCTGATCTCATACAAAATGTAATTACTTTTCCAAAGGGCATCCTGTTATTTGAAGATGGTGTCATGGAACTACTAATATTTTATTGTAAGATTTTTTGCCCTTATGCTTATATTATTTAAAAATTATCTAAAATAACTGGTTTATAACATCATACAGGTTGAGAATTTTTTATATTTCCTTATGTATCCTTCAAAGTATTTTTATGAATCTAACTAAAGCTTACACTGCATTTTTTGAGTGTCTTCATCACACTGTTGATTCAT